GACCCAGACATTGAGCTGTGTAAAGGGCCCTCAAAAAAATGGAGCTGCTTCCCGTTCTCCCAGAACAGTGATTTTTGTGACCAGTTACAAACCGCCTCCAGAGAGCCTGTTGTACACCAGACCAGTGGAGCCAGACGGCAGCTAGAGCCCATCATCATCCTCATCTGGTTGTAAGTAGGCAATCTAGTATATTATTCGTGGCACTAATCTCTAATTTACCTCACATTAAAGGGACACTATAGTCCCCAGAACCACTGCAGCTTAATGTAGTGGTTCTGGTGTCTAGCCTGTCCCTGCAGGCCTTTTAATGTAAACACGGTGGCACTGCAGCACTGGTGTTAGTTAACATGGCAGATCATATGGGTGGGGCATTGTGATGTCACATGGGGGGGGCGGCAAACTTTACTTTTGCCTAGGGCAGCAAAAATCCTTGCACCGGCCCTGTAGACACTGCATCCCTGTGGGCGGATTCGGGGGGGGGGGGCAGCACTTTGGGCGGACTCGGGTTCAGGCACCGGGGGGCCCAGACCTTGAGCTGTGTCAGGGGCCCCAACATTTCTGATGGCAGCCCTGCCTACCTGTGCTGCCTTCTCCTCCTGTGAGTCCGCCTCCCTTGCGGCTCCCTCTGCATCTGAGAGGAAGTGACATGCTTTCACTTCCTCCCAGCATCAGCAATACTAGAGGGGTCCAGAAGCAATGTAAAAGAACCGCAGCGCCCTATCTGGCCCTTATTCAGCATTGCCCCTCAGCGTGTGGGCCCCGGTGCAGCCGCACCGGCGGTAGTTCCACCACTGAATTACATCATGATCCAGTTCAGACAAGGCAGAGCCAGGGCAAACATTTAAAATAAGGAGAAGAAACAGAAGCATTATTTAATTTCTCTTCTGCTTTGTAGGACTTCTCTGAGCTGACGCCCAGGGTAAAAGACAGTGCTTATAGCAATGATTGACAGGAAGTTAAAGTGTAGGTTTCCGTAAACAGGAAAATTATGTGCGGATTTCTTCAATTAATTTCACGTTTAACACATCACCAATTCATATTTATTATAATATAATAATAAGTAAACATTAAATTAAAAATCCTGGAAAGACACTTCCCCCTTTAAGAAAGGCAATTTGATAAATAATATACATCATCAAATATCAGAAACATGGCCCGAGTTCCAAATTGTATGAACATTGGGGGATTAAAGGACCACTATAGTGCCAGGAAAACATACTCGTTTTCCTGGCACTATAGTGCCCTGAGGGTTCCCCCACCCTCAGGGTCCCCCTCCCGCCCGGCTCTGGAAGGGGGAAAGGGGTAAAAACTTACCTTTTTCCAGCGCTGGGCGGGGAGCTCTCCTCCTCCGATCCTCCTTCTCTCCTCCCTGTCGGCTGAATGCGCACGCGTGGCCGGTCAATTTATCAATGCTTTCCTATGGACGCTGGCGTGCTCTCATTGTGAAAATCACAGTGAGAAGCACGCAAGCGCCTCTAGCGGCTGTCAATGAGACAGCCACTAGAGGGAATGGGGGAAGGCTTAACCCATTCGTAAACATTGCAGTTTCAGTTTATAAAAAAAATGGGTTAACCCTAGCTGGACCAGGCACCCAGACCACTTCATTAAGCTGAAGTGGTCTGGGTGCCTAGAGTGGTCCTTTAATGGTTATATAACTGCTGTAGTTTAAATGGCACCCTAGTTTCATATTGCATTTATTCTTTTCCCTAGTTTTAAGACAAGGTGATTATTAAATTTGACAGGTACATTTAAAATTGCCTTGCCTTGTGTTTATCTGTAGCAGACGAAGCCAAATCAAAACTGACTTGTGTCCAAAAGACTGCTGGAAGTTCTTATTATGCATGTCACATAGATAACAGCTACGCATATAAAGCTTCCGAAATTATCAGCTCAGCAGCTTATCCTCCCAAACACTTTTACTGCTGTTTTTAAGTTCTATTTTACTTTTCACAGAATCCAAAAATACTAAAACATTCTTAGAACTCATTAATTAAAGCACAATAGAGTAATCCATAAATACATTAGGCTTATAGGGACACCACAGCCCTATCTGTGAATTGAATCAAACAGAAAATTATGTCTTTACAAGTACTATGACATGCAACAACCCACTTCATTTGATCGTCTTCCTCGTAGAATTTTAATCACTGCAATCACTATAAGGAATCCCTTCATATCTATGACTTCATCAGAATAAGCAATGTCTCCCTGTCCCTAAAAATACTTCAATGGCAAAGGCATACAGGGTGGGCATCTATCGTATAAGTCAATGGTACCATTTCTATACGTCTCATAGCTTTCGGTGTGAGAGCATATGCTGTGGAAACAGAGATGATTGAAGAAAACACATACATGAAGCTATCCAGCAAGCTGGGAGAAGTTGCACCATGGCTTCTGATAGCTTGGACCATGCCCCCCTACAGTCCTGATTTTGCCAAGACAGTCCCAATCCTCAGTTCCTGCTCTGCTGTCCTGACTTTTTCCCTGGTGTCCCACTTTTGGAATCTGGCCTCAGCTCTTTGCCCCCCTGCCACAGTCGTCTCACTTTTTAAAATGCCAATATAGTGGGGTATGTCAAACTGATATTTACCTGATATCTAGGCAGATTGTTGATCTATAACCCCACAAGCACTGCTGACTAGGATTCATGGGATACACATACTTATATCTATTGCAATGGTAGGGCCAGACTTGGTTGAGAACTTTCAGCCACTTCCTAGATCACAAAGAAGCTATGGCAGGGTTGGATAAACGTCAGATCTAAATCTGGCAAAGCATCATGATAGTTGTACTTCTAGTTGTGCGTCATTCTGAACTAATTAAACTTTACTTTATAGTTATCAGAAGAATATATAAACAAAAACAAAAATGTCCCTTCCTTGTCTTGTTATATAATTTTATGGTATGTTCAATGCTCTTCATTCTAAAGGCATGATATTATGAGAACTTATAAACATGTCCAACCAGTTGAGGGCCCTATTCTCTATTCCCTTAGGCAACAATCCATTTTGCCGCCCCCTCATGAATGCAACTACATTCCCTCAGAGGTTTATTCACTAAACTCTGAATTGCAGTGAAGAGACATTTAGAGAAAGAGACACACTGGCACACACATACCAATTTACAACCATGCACACAATAAACAGTCCCCCTTAGCTTCCAAATATGCTATACCTGAGTGTGTTGAGAAGGTGACAAGCCTGCAGGAAGTTGCTCTTCTTTCTGCAGATGGAGCAGAAAAGCCATGCACAGTGAGCCGTTCCTGCCTCCTTCACCGTGCTTCCAGTGATTTCAGGCAGGGGGCAGCAAGGATGTCAGGTCATGTTCCAGCTTCCCCTGACAGCAGGAAGCAGAGTGCTCTGCTCGGGTGCTGGGAATACATTAAATCCCACTCCTCGAGCAGGCAAGCAGCGGAGAGTAGCCCAGCACATGAATGGCTGCGCTGGGGGGTGGCTAAGGAGCTGCTCTCCCAGCAAACCAGCCCCAAACAGCAGCAGTGCAACCCCCCAGGAAACCTCTCCTTGGGCGCCCCCAATGGGTTGCCCCCCCAGGAGCATGCCTTATTCGCCTAACGTTAGCGCAGGCCCTGGTGGTGGATGCAAGGGTGAGAATGATGTTAATGCAGGGTGAGATGCATGCATTTATTAGATATGCTAAAAAGTTGAGTGGTAGGCTTCCCTGAACAAAAATGTCTTAGGGAGCGTTTAAAGTCTGACAGCAATGGGAAGGGAGTTCCAGAGGGTTGGTGCTGCATAAGAGAAGTCCCGCAGTCTAGCATGGGAAGAGGTAACAATAAAAGATAAAAGGAGTCATTATTAGATCTTTATTTTTTATTTTTTTATTAATCAGGACAGGTAGTGGGGAGTGGGGTTAGTAACTTAGTAAGGGCTTTGAATGTGAATGGTACTCGCAGAGAGGTGTAGTGATGAGTATGGTGCATTAGCCTAGTAGAGGAATTTAGGATGGACTGAAGGAGGGGAGAGGTACATTATTTCATTAGAGAAATAACAAGGGCTGGATGAGTTGCATAGTGGTCAGCACTCAGAATTAAACACATTTTTGGAAATATTGTGTAGATGCTTTCTGCAGGATGAAGAAAGTGATTGGATGTGAATGATGATGGACAGATTGGAGCCACGTGTAATTCCAAGACAGTGCATGTGAAGTGGTGGGGAGATAATTATGCTCTATACAGTGATAGAAAAGTCAGCAATTGCAGTAATGCAATGTGGGGAAGTAGAAGGAACTCAGTCTTGGACATATTGATCTTTAGGTGGAAGGAGACCATCTAGAAAGAAATGCCAGACATGAAAATTAACAGACGGAGAAGGAACATGGATGAAATGGTAGATCTGTGTTTAATCAACATAAAGTGATATTTGGTTTGAAGCCACAGCTGTTTACCAAGCGAAGAAGTATAAATGGAAAAGTGTAGAGCACCCAAGATGGAGCCTTGCGATACTTCAACTGACATGGGTATTGAAGAGGAGGAGTTGCCAGCAAATGACACAGAAAATTAAATGTTAGAAACGTAAGCGTAATTGAAAACAGAGTATATTGCAGAGAAAAAAAGAGATCTGGGGGACTGTAGGAGAAGGGAGTGGTAAAATGAGTATAAAGTAGTGGCCGTTACTTTCAGCAGAAAAAAAGGCAATTAGAGCCTTGGTGAGAGCAGTTTCAGTCAAGTGTTTAGAGCATAAGTCCAGTTGCAGGAAGTTGGAGGACAAGAAGTGGATTAGGCGGTTGTAACCTAGTTTTTCCCAGAGTTTTGTTATGTTAGTGGAAGCAGTGATAATGGTAGTTGACAGGAGAATTATGGTCAAAGAGGGTTTCTTGAGTATGACAATGACCTTTGCATGTTTGAAAGTGGATGGGAATGAACCAGAAGAAATGGATAGGCTAAAGATGTAAGAGCAGGTGTGAAGGTGGAAGATAGAGAAGATATTCACTGTGAAGATATAGGGTCAAGTGGGCAGGTAGTGATGCATGACAAAGACCGCAAAAAACAAGGCAGCATATTGCAAGTTTGTGTTGGGATGTTTTTTCAGTTAATATGTATTTTTATGTTATTTTGTATCTTGTCTATTACAATTAATATTATTATTATTGCTTCTAAAAAAAGTTTTTAGAAGCTTTGGTTCCGTGGAACTCTCTACAAGAAGTCTAACTAATGTCTTGAAAATGTAAGTTTCCAATAAAAGTAAACTCTGCCAGGAATTGTTTTTGCTAAAACAAAGGTTAAAATGACCTAAAGGGATTTACTCCATTCTGAGAATGATTATAGAACTTTGTTTGCCATGAATCTAAGAAAGCATTTATAGAAAGGATGTGCATAATAAAAGATAGTTTACAAATTGCAGGCAGTGTAACACTTTTACTTGTTATCTTTCTAGTACAAACTCTGTAAAATGAATATTTGTTTTGGTGAAGATTAAATCACTATTTTCCAATTGGATTGATTTGTAGAACACATGTTACTTTTTTATTTCAAACACCATTAGACCGATGTCCCTGTTTTTTAAAACCTGGACAGGTGGCATTCCTAGAATGTAACAGGTCAATGATGATGAAGAAGAACCCAAGATTACCGATAGCTTCAGATATCCAACCCTCATTCACACACAATACCTAGCTTTAAAAAAAAGGCATGGTAATTAGATATGTGCAATTTGTTTCGTTCTGAATGTACATGCGGACTAATTTCGAGCAATTCGGACATTCGGATGCTTACAAATGTTCAAATTGCCGAAGTTCCAAAGTGGTTTAGGGTTATGGGGTAGGGTTAGGGGTTAGGGGTGGGGTCCTCATTGCTGAAGCTACAAATTGCAGAAGTGCTGAAACTAACCAAATGCCATTGGTCCGAATTGCCGAAGCAGACACAATTTTTTTTTTCTTAACAGAATTTCTGAACCAAATTTTTTGCCTATGTACATCCCTAATAGCAATCAGAGGATGCCAACAATTGCTTTCCTGTTTAAGAATAAAAATTACCATATGTCCTTAGGATACCCTAATAAACAAAAAATGTGCAGTTAGTATCCTTCACTCACCTAGGGAGTTTATGAATGTCCCTGTTCTTCTAGCCATCCTAAGACAAAGTAAAGTGGACGTTTAAAGTAGGAATAGGCTGCAGTATTCCCATGTCTTGGCTTGTGTAATATTGAATTGGATATAATATACCCTAATTTTATTTTGGCGTCAGGTAGTTTTTGTAAATTACTAAAATATTTATTTTATTGTACTCTTTTTTTTTTTTTTTTTTCAATCAGCTTTGGAATCTGGTAAACTGGTATGTCCATGTTCTCATTGAATCCTGAACATGGTCAGGTAAAGTACAAGACCTTTTCATTAACTAGAGCTGAGGAAGCTGATGTGCATTTTATATTTTTCTATGAAACTCCCTGTACTAGATATTATTGCAACGTCACCCAAATAAGTAACTTTCATCAGAATGTTTGGCTATTTGTTCATTCATCTGAAAGACGAATGGACCAATCCAAACTAAAACGAATGAAATGAAGAATTAATTTTGTGCTGGATGAAATTCCATCCATGCAATTCTTTCACTTGTTTAGTTACAAGTAGGAAGCTACTGGCTCTCACTTTGTAATATTTAAAAACAGACTGGTTCTAAATGCTTAAGGCTATCATGCTTAGAGTGTGGTTACATTTAGCATTGAGTTACATGTTTTTTTTAAATTTAATTTGAATTTATTTTTGAGGAGTTAAACCTAGGATTCTAGTAAAAGGATTTGTTTCAGGTTTAGGCTTTGAGTGCATTTTGGGAGGAGTTAAATTAAAGATTAGGGGGAAATGGGTGTTTATGATATAGGCATGTGGAGTCTGAAGGGTTATTTGCAAAGTGCTCTAGGAACCTTTATACATCATGGATCACTCATTGCTGTTTCTGCTCCTCCTGCAAGGTATTTCTGTTATAGGAGGGTGTTAGTGGGCAGATGGTTAGTGATCCTATCCATTACCTGTCCAGCCTCACACACAGACATCGGAGGAGCTGGGACAGCACTGAGTTTTACACCCTCTAACTATTCTTGCAGTTCTGCTTTCACGCATAGGAGACGGACTGAACTACAGAGGACACCAACTAAGGCTCTTGGAACTCATCTTCCCTAACCAGCCAAACCTAAGCTCCAAATATGCACATAAGTGCTGTAATTAACCTCCCCCTAGAGTTCATGGGTGTAGGGTGCCTACTCTGCCTAAAGGGAAATCCAGCCCTAATTGACCTATTGTCCCCAGCCCTCACCAAATGGTAGTGGATGGGGGCTAATAATACATTTAAAAAATATCTCTCCCCTCAGCCTAATAATACTGGGGTAGAGGGTAATAAACTAAATACCTGCAAAATAATGTCAAGCTTACTATTAGATTTCTTATTTTTTTTCTTACATATTCTTCTCTTCAGCCCCATAAAATGCCACATAAAAATCCATAAGGCCGTGTTGCTACTATGAAATTGAAAAAACACTGGATCGCAAAAAACAACCCATATTCAGGCGCTTGTGGTATGGGTAAAGCCTTATGAAGAGTTTCTCATGCTATGCAATTTGAGTCAGAGCGCTTTTCAAAGCCAACCAATCAGAGTGCTCTGACAGGTAAATCAGAAGACTGACAGACAGGTCTTGAGATTTACCCGTTTTCGTCTGAAAATGAATGATTTTATGGCCCAAAATGTTTTTGGAAGAAACTAAAATTTCTTTCCTCTGAATTCTTTCGATTGAGATAAAAAAATTGGTGGCAGAAAAGTCTATAAATTCCAATTTGGCATAAAGTTGCTGTAATTCCAATTTTGGCTATTGCCAACCTGTAAATTGACCCCAATACGTCAAATCCTTTGAGAGAAACCTTTAGCAAAATATTATTTTCATTTTAGAAAGGTGACTCATGCATGACAATTGTTTTATGGCAAACACTGTTGACATTAACTACTCATAAGTTTCAAAAGGTCAATATTATTTATTACAAAAAAAAGATTAATTGTGCCATAGAAAGTAAGTGATTAAAGGTTTTACCATGAGTTCCCAAACCACTTTAAAACCGTGCATTAGCTCTTGCTGGGAAAGATGTTTTGAGCCTTGTGATTAGTTCTAAAACATACGCTTGTCCTTCTACTAAACTCCAGTTGAACGATTGTAAATATGTTACATTTGTTTGACATTAAATTTTACACAGCCATTATATCTTAAAGTTCTTTTATGAGAGAGGAAATTTGAGTGTGGAAATATTCCGAACATAAGCAAAGAATTAAAAAATATTCTACGTTAAGAGTTGGAAGGTACGCTTGCAAATATATGAATCCAAATATATTTTCATCTCTTCAGTTTGTATGCCATTAAACACTGTATTGGTGTCGAGCTTGCACTTACATGCAATTTTTTTTTTCTTTTTAAGAATGCATTGCTAAACTGGTGTACATTATGGTAAATTATAGTTTAGAGAAATGATTGTTAAAACACCGATTTAAGCCCACTTTCTACATAGAAACATAGAAACGTAGAATGTAACGGCAGATAACCGTTTGGCCCATCTCGCCTGCCCAATTTTTAAAATACTTTCATTAGTCCCTGACCTTATCTGAAGTCAAGGAACGCCTTATGCCTATCCCACGCATGCTTAAACTACTTCACAGTATTAACCTCTACCACCTCAGCTAGAAGGCTATTCCATGCGTCCACTACCCTCTCTGTAAAGTAATAGAAACATAGAAACATAGAAACATAGAATGTGACGGCAGATAAGAACCATTCGGCCCATCTAGTCTGCCCAATTTTCTAAATACTTTCATTAGTCCCTAGCCTTATCTTATAGTTAGGATAGCCTTATGCCTATCCCACGCATGCTTAAACTCCTTTACTGTGTTAACCTCTACCACTTCAGCTGGAAGGCTATTCCATGCATCCACTACCCTCTCAGTAAAGTAATACTTCCTGATATTATTTTTAAACCTTTGTCCCTCTAATTTAAGACTATGTCCTCTTGTTGTGGTAGTTTTTCTTCTTTTAAATATAGTCTCCTCCTTTACTGTGTTGATTCCCTTTATATATTTAAATGTTTCTATCACATCCCCCCTGTCTCGTCTTTCCTCCAAGCTATACATGTTACGATCCTTTAACCTTTCCTGGTAAGTTTTAATACTTCCTGAAATTTTTTTTTTTTATATATATATATATATATGTATATTTAATTCTTATTGTAAATAAAAAAAATAGCAATTACATTGACATGGTACATAATGGCAGGTATCGTTTTGCTCTTACATTACATTTCAATCAACGCTACATATCAAATCTTGCTTCCAATGAGAATTACACTAGATTGTTAGACAGGATATTTACAAAAATACTTTGAAATTATACATCAAACTAAGAAGATGACAAAATGATACATCAAATTTAAAGGATGCCTACTTTCAGGGTACAAGATCAACCTAACCAAGTCAGAGCTCCTACCAATGCAAATAGACTCCCCGTGCCTGGCCAGGATTAGACAAAAATTCCCACTGAGAATTTGCCACACAGCGATATTGTACCTGGGGATCCAACTTCCAACAGACACAAACACCCTATATGCAAAAAACTACACACCACTACTACAAAAAGCTCCCGAAGACCTGATTAAATGGATGCCCATGGGGATCTCCTGGCTGGGACGCATCGCCTGCATCAAAATGAACCTCCTCCCTAGATTCTTATACCTCTTCCAAACCCTTCCAAAACCAATCCACAAACAAGACTTCAGGGCCCTACAGTCGGTAATCTACACATTCAACTGGAACGGACGCAAACCAAGTTTACGCAAGAGCACACTATACATGCCCAAGAAATGCGGGAGCCTGGGACTCACAAACTTTACACATTACCACTCGGCAGCGCACCTGGCACAAATACAGCAGTGGCACATCCCACCCGGGAAAAAACGATGGGTGGACCTGGATCAGTTGATCTTTGGCTGGGACCTCCCGTCCCTGTACATGTAGGCACCCAAACCACACAGGCCCCTACCCCCTCCAACTGCACCCGCAATCACTCATGCACTCAACCTCTGGGACAAACTAAGAGACAAATTCGAACTGTCTTCTTTCCTCTCCCCCATGACCTCAATCTGGAGGAACAAACTATTCCCACCGGGACTCACCCCCAAACACTTTGCCCAATTCGAACACAGAGACATATCAAGACTGGGGCACTTGTACCAGGACGACAAAATCTTACAATTCACAGACATCAAAGATTCATCCTCCCTGTAACGCTAAATGACTGGAACGCAACTGCAGAAAA